TGCAGCCAGAAACCTAGAAGACATCCTGAAGCCTCCCTTCTTCTCTAAAACATCAGCAAGTTCTAGATTTTATCTTGAACTCACCTTTTTTTCCCTTCAATTCCCACCACCACTATAGATGAAGCCACAATTTACTCTTATTTGAATGACAGAAAGATCATTCTAACTGGTCTTCCTTATTCTAATCTACCATCCACCTTTGCCCTATCATACGGCAGTTCTCCACAAAGTGATTAAAACCACTGCATTTAAAGTAAAATCCAAACTCCTTTCCATAGGCTAAAATATTCTTCATGATATGACCCTGCCTTTTTTTCTTAATTTCTCTGTTGCCATTCTGTCTCTCCTTTGCTAAAGTCTAATCACACTGCTATTTTTCCATTCTGTAAACTCTAATACTTCAGGGCCTTTCCATATGCTATTTCTTCTACCTCAAGCAGCAGCCCCCATATACACACTCCCAACCACCCCCCCCACACACACACTATTTTATGGCTTCTTACTATCCTTTAGTTTTCCTCCTAAATGTCACTTCCTCAGAGAGGTTTTGTCATTTAATTGGTATCTCAGCTCCTGAGATTTATTTTCTTTGTACAGTATTTATTGAAACTTGCAACATTTTTTTGTCTATTTGTCTGTCCTCTACTTTTAATCTTTCATTCCCACTAGAATATAAGCTCTGTGAAAACAGGAGCTAAGGCTCTCATTTTCATTGCTATAGCTCTAAGGAAGCACTTAATGAACACATGGTAATAAATAAATGCCTGAATGAATATTATAGTAAGACCTGGTTTCTATGACACAGAAAATATGCAAGAAATCAAAGTCAAACTTGACATAAACACCTTCTCTTTAAAACTATATTGCAGGATAAATTCAAGAATAATGTACAGAATTGAGGGAAAGGATTATGGAATAAAATTTCATTGTTAGCTAAGCTGTGACTCATGTATAAAGCCAATATGAAGACACGCTGCAAAATTCAAAGGGTCTTTCTTACTCTTTTTGAAAAAAAAAAAAAGCTTGAAACAATTCTAGAAGGTTAAAAACATCATTCAAATTACAAATTCAGTAATGTAATGAAAAATCAGAATAAAAGGAATGGTAGTGATCCTAGTAAAAAAATTAAGTTTAAGTAAAAGTTATAAACTGACTCACAAAAGAGAACATAAATGTCAACAATTCCCCATAAGATATATTACTTCTATGGCATATAAACTGAGGAGTAGAATTATTTGGAAATTGCAAATAAAATTTAAGATCATATTAATAAAAATCAGAAACTGGAAAAATGAGTAAAGATAAAAAAGGAAGGAAAATATGCTAAATTCCTCATCAAAGGCTGGTAGTAAGAAAATTTATATTAAATATTTTACTTGAAAACCTGTTTTCTTGTTTCAGGCTTTCTTTGTTTTCCTTGTTTATAGTTTTAACTATTTATAGTAATAGTATAGTATTATAGTATTTATAGTATTAAATTAACTAATGTATAGTATAGTATAGTATAGTATAGTATAGTATAGTATAGTATAGTATAGTATAGTATAGTATATTAGCTAGGTTTTATTTGCTTTTATCTTCCCAGTGATTGAAAAAATACACACTTAGTAAAGTAAAAATAAAATGATGTATACTATTCTTTATTATCCAAGGAGAATCCTGACCTTTACTCCCTAATATCCTTCTGTCACAGGCACATACAACTGAGAGGTTTCTTGATTTCCACCCTTCCTCTGGATCCAATTATCTACTAAGGTTTATGGGTTCATGTGAGCAACATCATACACACATATTGCAGATGTTAGACAGAAAGCACAATCTTGCTTGATCTCATTCTCACCCAAACTAATCAACAGCTTCAGTGAGAGAAACTGACTTAGAGGATAATTGTTTAGAAACCATGCAGTTCATGTTTTCTGTAACATACTGTAAAATATGCTGTGAATTCAGCAGACTTCTAGGACAATGAATACAGATCATTTCATATGGTATCTACCAAACTAGTTCTTAAATTAAACTTTGGTGTGATGCATTAGCTAGTTTGAGGAAAGTCATTAGAAAGAACCATGAAAGTCATCACTGATTATAATATAAGGATTGTATTGATAAATCTAAGTAAACTTCTGCTTTATATGAATCTTTAGAAATACTATTGAGACATTTTAAGATGTGATAATATTATCATTACATTATGATTAATATAAGTATATGTTATAGCTATAATGCACATATAAATATAATTATATTATCATAATAAATTACACTATAAAATAAACATAACAATGAATTATATAATAAAACTATAGTATATAAAACATATCTTATGATGAAATGTAATGGTTAACAGTATTAGTTCATAGCTAAATTTGTTTCTCTAGAGAAAATTTATTCTTTTTTATCTTATAGAAATTGAGAATTATGAAAATATCTCATGTTTTCAATATCAGGACTGCTAGAAAGTTTGGAACTGGGCAGATTTATAAAAACCTAATATAATCCAAATTCACTTTCTACATAGTTGAATAATTTTGAAATAATTAAAATGAAAGCAACTCTCTAAAAAGAGACCAATGCTTTGAGCCTTATATTAACCTATTAACAACTGTAGCAATAGTCTTACTTCTATAGTCGTCTTCTTCAAGGGTATCTGATATGTTCAGTGTTTTATTATTTTCAAGTGTAGTTCGCAGACATTTGTGCTTCAGGTTGCCCATGAAGAGCTGCAGCCCAATTAACGCAAACACGCTCAGACAGAACACAGTCAGGATCATGACATCTGAGAGTTTCTTCACAGACTGAATCAGGGCTCCCACAATGGTCTTCAGGCCTGAATACAGGGGATAAAAGGGGTGTTCATAATGAAATAAAGCCTCTGAATGAGAAATAAACAAAAACAAGCTTTCCTAGAAATGCATGCATCGTATCAAATCAACGACCTAAAATAACCTAATTCAAAAAAAGCCCACTAGGTCAAAAGGGTATATTTGCTGTTTTATATATTTTTTATTTCTATATATTACAGCAAATAATTAAAAATTGTAAAATATTTCCAAAGAGTAACCAAATTGTCAAAAATAATTTAGTTGCTCAAAACATATCCACACTCATTTGTAAAGAATAATTTTTGAAAGTTCTAATTCAGTAAATGCTTGTCAAACAAACCATCTCTCTATAATGGTGCTAAAACGAAGAAGAGGCTGAATTGCAGCATATAGTGACAACTTACTAACTTTCAGTTAAGAAATGGTTTGTTGAGGAAAGATAAAATAATATGTCATGCAGTACCTCCATGCTGATATTTTTCTCTTTTCTGATCTACATGAAAAGCAATTAAAACCAATTGAAATTTTCATTCCTGAATAAGCAAAATGGAAAATGAACTGTTAGACAGGAGGGAAAATTTCAAGTTGAGATACGAGCCAATTGGCCATCTTCATCCTCTAAGACCCATGCAACTGATTAAACTCAAAGGCTGACTTTTAATAAGGATTCTGAAAAACAAGAAATTAAATTTAATGGAAATTGCATAAAAGAAAGCTTTTCTTTTTTTTTTTGTCCAAATGATCAAAGTCAGCCCCAGTGTTTAACCCCACTCTCACCTGGAATGACTGAAATTGTTTTCAATGCTCGGAGAACTCTGAACGTTCTCAACGCTGAGACATTGCCCAGGTCCACAAACTCTGTCACATATCTGTAATAGGGAGTTTACACACAAACACAGTGACAACACACGCACAAACAAACAAAGAACAACTCCCAGATAGTTGGAGTTATAAGTGGCCTAGTGCTTCACACCAATCACTTCTTACCTGGAATTACAGAAATAGTTTTCAAAGCTCTCAAGACTCTGAAAGTTCGAAGAGCTGAAACATTGCCTAGGTTTACAAATTCTGTTAAATACCTGTAGAATTAAATCAGAGTTATTCAAAATTTAGATAGAGTCTATGATACTTACCTGTGCCTTTAGTCAAGGTATTTCCTACGTGTGGAACATCTTATTTAAAGGTATAATTCTGCAAGTCATTTTTTTCTATCATAATTTTTAATTTAATTTGATTTATTTGATGTGAGCAAAATACAAATGTTATTAAAACTATTTCATACACTTAAATGCCTAAAAAAGCAATTAAATGCTTCAATTATTAGACCTCAACATTATGGTGATATATTTAATAATCCTATAAAACATCAGTGGCAAATCTTGAAAACTATATGCAAACTGAAAGAAGCTAGACACAAAAGGCCACATACTATATGATTCCATTCATATGAAATATCTAGAGCAGGCAAATCCACAGAGATGAAACATAAATGAGTGGTTTCCAGGGGCTGGGGGAAGGAGGGAATGGAAGTGACTGCTTTTGGGGGTGATGAAAATATTCTGGAATTACAGAGTGATGATAGTTGTACAACTTTGTGAACATACTAAAAACACTGAATTTTATACTTTAAGAGAGTAAATTTTATGGTATGTAAATTCTACCTCAATAAAAAAGAAGACTCCCTGAGGCAGCCCTGTTTGACACAATGCTATCTTATCAGCAGGTGGTAGGTGGAACTGCAGCAGTCACATTTCATTGTGAAAAGGGAGGCAGGACAAGGGTGAGGGAATTGGAGACTAGAAATCTGAAGACCCTTTTGTATTGTCTAAATTCCTCCAATGAACATGCATTACTTTCACAATTCAAAAAGATAGAGCAAAAAATATTGTACCTTGGTCTGAGATTTTAAAAAAATGTTTCTGACAAATATATTTGGAAAATGAGTAGTAATATGAATACAGTAAAATTCTATGTTAATGTAATAGTTTTCCCTTGAAAATAAACTGTGGATGCCTACGTGATACACATACAGTACATTAATGTTAAGTTTAGTATGCAGTGACAACCCTTAAAAAAGATTTACTTCTATATTTTAATACTTATTAGGACTTGAATAGTATAGATTAATAAAAAGAAAATCATATTTATTATTGAAGGCCTGAGTTTTTTTCTGTGATTCTTACAGGTTTTATTAGTTTTTAAATAAGAACTTGGAACAAATGTGAACCTAACTGGCACTACATAGACTGTCTATCAAGTGCTGGGTGTGGAGGGAGATGATCAATCTTAATGCTGTCATATACTTTTGAGTAAGAAATGCTCTTTCAAAAAAAATTAATATCTGCCTGTAAATGACTAGCTTTCTTACAGTTTTCTTTAAACACAACCAAGACATGCAGAAAACGTCAGATCCTAAAGCTCTGTTCTTACTGGAATACGATGTTGTCTGAAATTTTCATGAGTGCGCCATTTCAAAAAACTGAATGTAGTACTTACGCAAAAACAATGACGATAAAATCAAGCCAGTTCCATGGGTCACGAAGGAAAGTGAATTCTCCTACACAGAAGCCTCTTGCCAGAATTTTTATAAGGGATTCAAAAGTATATATTCCAGTAAAAGTGTACCTAGACACAAGAATCCATTGGAATATTAAATATGAAAAGAACACAGCACCATGTAAATCTATATAAATAATTTTTTTTTTCTAATCAACCAAAGAGAGACGTCTATTGCAGTGTGACTGCTAGTTTACAGACCCATTCTAACTATTAGAATAAACTAAAGTAAAGATCTTTACAGAAAATCTTAAAATGTCCATTTAGAAACTCTTATAGAAAGTATAAGTATTTTACTAAGAATATAAATATTAGATTTGCCTGGAAAATTCCTACACTGATCCAAGATAAGCAATATGTAACATGCCTAAGAACAAGGCAGGGTATCTGATAAGTTTATTCTTAGAAATACACTCCAAGATTCTTAGAAATACACTCCAAGATAAGCAATATGTAACATGCCTAAGAACAAGGCAGGGTATCTGATAAGTTTATTCTTCTATTCTATTGCTAGCAGGTTAATATCACAGAGGAGAGAAAAATAAAAGGAAAGTAACTCTATAACATAGGAAGATAAACGCTACAATTTTTATAGATGTAATAACTTCCTTGTAGGAAAAGGATAAAAATGATAATACTAAGACTATATTAAAAGGTACTTATACCCACTTACTCTACATTCTTGGTCCAATCTGGAGGGTTATTCATGGTCATAAATATGCAGTTTGTCAGAATAGTGCACATGATAAGCATGCCGAATAAGGTAGCTTAGAATCAAGGAACATGACAAAAGGCCACTGTGGGAACTTTGAATATTTGATAATAATGTTTGCTGAAATCTTTTTCTTTAGAAAATAGCTGTAAATAAGTTTATAGTCTTTGTCTTTCTTTTAAATCTCTTTAAACAAGTGAGTAATAGATAAAAGTAATTTATCCTAAAATGTTAAAATTGCCATTCATCCAATCTTCTCAGAGACCTACACCATATTACATCAAAATATTAAACTAAAACCATAGTCTTTTCAGGTGCAAAAAGACACAAATCTATATTTAAATAGATTTAAATAGCAAACACTACATTTTGAAGAACCATTGCAAGTAAGCATTTTAAAAAGGATATGAGTGTACTAAAATCTTAATAGATATTCTTCTTAGAGGACTGAAAGGAGACAGCATGTACAAAGCAGGTGTGGCATTGAAACGGAAGATGGCTTTCCCTTTGTTCAATACTATGAAAGTCTGCAGGATCAAAAAGAAAACAGGATAAAATTGAGAATCCAAAATTTTAATCTAGCACATCAATCTAAGCAGTTTACCTCTCCATGCAGTAGTGTCATATTAAAGAAGTACTGCCAGCAGACTCAAACAATGTGTTTCCAAACCCATTTATGTAGCTGTGTACGTCATGGTGGCCAGTGAGCTCCAGTCCGTTTCTTCTCAGCAAATTAAGAAGTGAACCATTTATGAGCATGTATTGGTTAGAGCTCCCAAAATATAGTGTCTTCAATACCCACATCAGTAACAATAACTTGTGGCCACTGGAATTAGTTTAAAACACAACTTCCTTCTTTCATTACGATGTATTACAAGCAAACCAAAGAGAAACTAGCTCTCCCTGATTTTTACCATAACACTCTGAGATTTTAATACTTGTTGGCTATTGTCATTGTTAGTAGTAAATGTTCCAAAGTATGAGTTCTTTCAAAAAATATTTTCACAAATTTAAGGAATAGTAGAGTTGGAAGAATTCTATTACCCAGTTCCTGTTTTAGATGTAATACTAATACAAAGACATAAAGGACTTGCTTGCTACTATTCATAGTAATTTTAAAAAATAATACATACAGAACCAAACATTCTTAAAATGTGTTATATGTATTTTAAACATATGTTATATGTATAAAATATGTAACCATTACATAATGAGTGACATTCTCCCTGTCTCTGGTATTTAGTTAAAACATTTAAAACCCAAACAAATAAATACATAATAACAAAATATTAAAACAATCTAATGTTTTTGGATTGGAAATCAGAAAGACCAAGTACAAATCTTTGTCTTATTTTTCTGCATTGGCAGGCTAATTACTTGTGTTATCCAGCAGACACTCACTTTATCTTTTTTTTGTTGTTGTTGTTTAATCTAAATTTTATATGTTTATGAGTGGGCTTCTGGTAATAAACAGTTTTCACCAAACTTGAGACGTAAGTTCAAGTATCTTCCTTTTTAATTGTATATGGCAGTATTCTCAAGAAAATGAACCTGAATCTATTATTTTCAGATGTCATTTATATTCCTGGTCCCTTTCACTATACTAGTTATGTCTAAACATAATCTAACATAAAGCTCACTTTTATATTGAAAATTAGTTTTAAATTAATATCTAGTCTTTGAGTACAACTACTGTTTTATTAAATATCAATACACTATACTTGTTAAAAGTCATTCATCCATTATTTTCTACAATTGTGTAGTGAGCACCTATGGCATAAGAGGCAATGAAAGGAGTTTGAACATAAATGAAGCATGAGTTTTGCCTTCAAGGAACTTCCTGGAAAAGTGATAAGAACACAGTAACTCTAGTATAAGATAAGATTTGACATATGCCATACAGAGAAATACAAATGGAAGAGTATGAGAGTAAAGAGGAGACAGAGTGACATGTCTGTCAGAATTATCGAGGGAACTCTAGAACCAGAGGTCACTTGGGCTCATGTGAAAATCACAACATTACTACCTAGCCTTGGCAAGACCAAGTTACCCTATACTTGAAACTAAAAAAAAAAATAGTTTGCTAGTTTTCCATTTAAATAGTCAATTTTCATTTACATTAAAAACTTCTTCAGGAATGTCTGGGTTTATATACATCTAGGAGTTAATTATAGGAAGGAAAAGTAAGCATGCCCATGAAATTTTAAGGATCGGTATGAGTCTCTTTAGTAAATTCTAAAATCCTATTAGCAAATCTATAAATATAAAAGTCTGAATAAATTCTTTTTAACTTTGCTCATTTATTTAAATTTATTGAACATAAAAGCATAGAATTACAGTGCTTAAAGAGCAAAGACTTTAGAGTTGGACGGCTATGATTCTTAATACCAGATCCAGCATTCTGAGAGCTAGCACTTAGTGTCTGTGAAGTTTTTTAAGTTTCTAATACATTGGAAATTCTTAGTAAATAGCAGGAGCAGCTGCTAATACTATAAGCAACATAAAAGGTACCAACTATAGGAAGATAATAAGATAATGTATCTGACCTCTTAAAATCTATAGTACGGGGTGATCGATAATTTATTCTTTCCTAAAGACACAACTTTTCCTTATAATAAAGGTACAACATAACTATTAAAAAGTACTTATATATTCATCACACATAAAAATGAAGCCCTAACTTCTATCATTAGTTTATTAAGTATTCTTTGTTTGAACAAATCATTGATAATTAACTCAAAGATAAATTAAAATCTAGACCCAAGTCAAATTATGGGTCATTAAGAGTTTTAATCCAAGCAATGATTTAATATAGCAGAAATAAAGTTTTGTCAATTAGTGTGAATAATATGAAATATTGAGGAATCACTTTATAGAGAAGTCAACTCTAAACCTATAAGCAGAAGTCAAAATTACTTTTATCAGGAATGTTTCATGACCTGAGACATGACGCAGAAAGTTGATAATTTAAAGCTCCAAACAAAAGGAAATAAAGACCTGTTTATCTCTTTGTATATATTTGTTCAGATGTTAGCAATAAAGGACCATGAAGACATATTACTTTGTTTGCCCTAGTTCTACCCAAGTATATTGATGCAGGTGTGGGTTAGGCTTTTGATATGGTTGGGGTTATATTATTTGAAAGAAGCTGGGGCCAAGGCCCACCCCAAATAGTCTCTATTAAAATCAGCCTATCACATAGCTAAAATTACTCCATTGGTTAATAAGTCTATTCTCCATTCGAATGCAAACATTTTCTCCTTACCTCCTAAGTCACTTTAAGCCAATATTAGTTTATACCTCTGACTTGGGGATTATTCCAGAAAGATTCATTCTTCCTTAAGGAGTAGCTGGTTAAGTAATATCCTCGTCCTCTTTGGAAATGGGAAATGCAGTAGGTATCCATGGTATCAGGAATTTTTCAGGATGAAGTAATAAGTAAAATGAGAAAGTATTTCTTATTTTGCCTGTTTCATTATTTACTTATTATTTCATTCATTTTTTAAAAGTTGTTAGCATTGTGGTTGCTACACAACAGAAACTAAACTAAGAGGTGTTGCATAATAGAATATTTCAGTAGGGAACTAAATCAACTTGAATTTAAAAATCTATGGCAAAATGTACTAGTGTGTACATTTTGCAAGTTACTTTATTTCCATAAGCCCTTTATCCCATCTAAAAACAAGGTATTACTTCCTGTCTCATCAGGCTGTGAGAAATATGTGCACTAATTTGTATAAAACATCTGATGCCTGACTCAGAGACCCTCAATACCTATTAGTATTCTCCCTTTCTGTGTCAGAATACTGATCAGTTAACTAGCATGTTGTGCAATATTTCAAGGGCTTCTCACATATTCTTCTATTGTTGTGCCATCAGCTTGTTGAGTACTGGTTGTAACGTGAAACAAAACATTAGAAATTGCTATTCATAAAAACTACCACTGAGGCATATGCGTTTCTACCATTAAAAATTAACACCATCACATTTTATATTTTCAAGACATTTCAAATATGTTCTTTATTTTATTTGCTAGATACCTTATCAAGAAACATTCTCTTATATTTATTTCTTAAACAAATCAAATTAATTTTTTAAATGGACTTTCTCCTGCCTTTCTTGACCTCTCAAAAATAAGTCTGCAGGTGCTGTGGAGCAAAGCATTGTTGGAGAAAGTTATAAAATCTGATCTAATTCTTCACTGTCCCCTCTTTGTCATCTTCAGCCTGGTTGTGTCTGCTACTATGTCAAAAAATTACTGTAATCCCCTTCTCATCATTTCAACAGAATAATCTAGCAGTTGTTTCAAACTGTTTCCCATTCCCTTAATGCAATCAACACCTTCTCTACTCTGCTGCTCACAACATTGATTCTTCAAGAACAATTTGCACTCCTGTAGTATAGAAAAAATTGATACCATGTAACATGCATTTCCTCTAATAAGCCTACATTTACCTCAACACAACATTTTTAAAACCATCCTCTTTTCTGCCACTCAAGCCTCAGACAATAAGGCTTCTCTCCACTTATCTAATGCAAATGCAATCTGACCTGTAGCTTGTACTTTGTCCAATAATGTCAGCAACTAGCTCTACTCCAGCCCTCTGCATTTTTCTGAGTGAGAATAAATTTTCTTTACTTTTGAATGCGCTATTTTATACCCTATGTTTAAAAGGCTTGCGATTGATTTGGTACCTCAAGTGACCATCTTTCTAGTGGAAAATTTCTCAGATTTATCAACATGCACGTACTATGACCTACTTTCTCTTTTTATTTGCTATCCAACACTATCTTGCTTTGATTTCCATGGTACAACACAAACTGCTTGCAAAAAGTTACAATGCATCCTCATTGTTCATTCCAATAGCCTGTCTCTATCCTCAAGTTTCTGTGTAATTTTATGTGAATTTCCCTTCCTTGTTGAACAATGGAAAATTTTCTGACTCATGCCCTACCTCTCTAACCAACTATCTCAAACTCCTCTTTCTTTCCAATACCCTAAATGAAGCAGCTCTCCAAACTCTATTACTAGTAGAGTGATCTTATATATGCCCATGAATTCAACTGTCACTTCTATGTAAATGCAATCTGGACATATTCCTAGGTCTTATTTCTCAAGGTGATGATTATCTTGTTCCAACCAGTATACATTTATGGCATGTCCAGAAAGGCAGAACATATGTAATCTGAATATTCTACATATGTATTTTTTCTGAATGCGTTTGTCATGATGTAGTTTTTCCCTAAATTCTACTTAATCTCGATTTAAAATAACATTCTATACAGAAAAAAAGCAGAGATCATACCACTTTAGTCACAGTAAACTCACTTTTTTGTCTGTGTAGTAGGGGTCCAGGTCCTCCAGGGGCTCTGACACCATGCCTGGAGGGATGTCCCCATAGATAAAGGGCAGCTGTTTGCCAGCTTCCAAGTCACTGCTTGGCTTTGGGCCTTCTTCATCATCATCTTTCTTTTCTTCTTTGGGTTCCTTTGTTTTTCTTTCAGCAATACGTTGTTCAATGAGGGCAAGAGACTGCTCTGTAAAGTAGACAAAGCTCTGAGGTCCTGGGGGAGGCAACATTGCCATCTTTTCATCCTGTATATTTTATTTCTCCTTCAGCTCCTTACATAAGAGGCCTAAGTGGAAACAAAGAAATAAAGCCTTAAGTGTTTGCCAGCCATTTTAATTGGCACATTAAAATAAAAATAATATTAATAATGATAATAATTATAATTAATAAACAGATTTTTGGTTTCAACTATAGAAAATAATGTATTCACAGAATTATTAGCATGTTAAATTAGCACTTATTAAATGACTATCATGTGCAACACTTATTTTCTATGCTTTCTAACCATCTTTATTTTAGAATTTGAACTTAACACATCACTGCTTTAAAAGAAAAAATGTATCCATGGCCATGTTACCCTGAACAAGCCAGATCATGACTGATCTCGAAAGCTAAGCAGGGTTCGGCCTGGTTAGTATTTGGATGGGAGACCACCTAAGAAGACCAGGTGCTGTAGGTGTAAAAAATAAAAAATAAGGGATTGTAAGCAGACAAGGTCCTTGCCATCTGTGAGGTCAACCAAGGGTTGCCTCTCCTAAAAAATAAAACTAAATTTTAAAAACAAGTAAAAATGTGACAATTTAATTTAAAAAAATTTAATTCCCTTTACCTTTCATCTGTATTTATTTTTAGTGAAATTCAACTCAACTTTCCTCATTTCAAAGTATGACAGTGCTTCTGATAGCACCACTTTTGAGGTTCTCCTCTTGCCTCTCTGATCACTTGATCCTCTCTGTCTTACATCTCAAAACATGCTCACACCGTCCGCTTCTTTCTCAGGAAATGTACTTCTATAAAATGAGGTGGTGGTAGATTGTTTTACTCTATTTTACACATTTCTATTTCCTTATAATAAATACATACCCCTTTACAAATCAGAAAAACTATATTTCTGTTTTGAATTAAAAACAATTTGGGAAAATGTTTTGAAAAGAACAAAGAAATGAGGAATGTTTATGATTTAAATTAAAAAGCAAAAAAAAAAAAAACAAAACGAAACACTATGATATGCATTCAAACCATGACTTCCCTATCTAACCTATATATAAATAAAAAAAAATTATAAAACTGCAGGAAAAAAAAGTAGAAAATAGAAAATTCAAGTTTCTATATATTATCATTTTGGAGTTTTGCAAATAGAAGAGCATGAAAAATAAATTATTTAAAAAATAATAGACTCATTATTTCAATGAGTCAAAATAACTTCATAACACCTGCATTAGAAAATAAAAATAAATTCTTTCTTTTCTTCCATTAGGATTGCCTGAGAATGGGGACACTTTAACCTCCAGCATATCAACTTACTGTGAACAGCTTGAAAGGTTGTATGTTAAGTAATCATCACACACAGAGAGAGGATGAATTAAGAGGAGCCATCACTGGCTCTTTTACTTTCCAATGCTAGCGCTAAAAATTAAGTTAATCATCACAGTAACACCATGAGTTGTATAGATGTTTTAAAAAGAGTATGAGAAGCAGAAACTAATTATTCTTTTCAGGTTTCTCCTGTTCCCACATCAAACACAATAAATCTCAGTTACATTTAGAACAAAATGGGTGATTCCCCCCTTAATTATTGGGGTACAATGTGTCAGTATAAACCCTTTACTAGAAAGCTAAATATTTTTAAATGAAGTGGTAAACCAGTTTAAAAACAACAAAAAATAATCATTTTGCAAAGTATTGATCTATTTTTAAATTTATAAAGCCAATGTGGCTTTTCTGAAAAATGTTCTTTTTATGATTTATCATAATTTTGAGTTTGCCTCCCCTGGTATGTAACATCTTTTTAAACCTGCTAACCCATCTTCATTTTAAATATTTTTACCAAATACTTATTCTGGGCATGTTACCATATGAGATATTTTGAGCTGTGAGAATAAGGAAAAAGCACAGTTTTTGTCTTTAAAGAATTTACATTCTCAAAAGAGACACCAGTTACACCAAATTATATAGCCGAGACAAACCTGGTTTCACTATAGTAAAGGAGAATACAATTAGCCTAAATAACTCCAAATATATATATGTATATATATACACACACACATATATTTCCTGGTGTAAAAACAGAGACAGAGACAGAGACAGAGATATAAGCAAGAGGTGAGTTTCTGATGTAAGCACAAAGTTTCATATATATCTGATACAAATTCCTGGGTTCTTTTATCAGTCTCTCCAAAGGTGGAGGCCTAGGTAGATGCACAGCAACATTCCATGGGAGAGAATATGTTGAAAGCCATACCATGGCATATTTGGAAATAAGAACACATGTATAGTCATAGATTTAGAATTATGAAAATTTATAATTGTGAACAAAGAAGAACAACTCGGTCCACTCTGCCAGCCAGAAGCAACTGACATTATATCTTGTGAACAGAATTTCAACACTAATCAACCATGTGTTTGCTGGTTTGTCCTTGTTTTTAAAGTATTTTACTAAGATTATTTACTCCACTATTTCTCTAAATTCAACTTCAATAAGAGCAGACATATTTTGATTGAAACTAAAGTTGTTATGATTTTTTAAAATAATGTAGTAAAAAAAAGGGATATTTGCATGTGAATATGCAAAAGTAGAATGATTCAGAAAGATCATGACTCAGTAATTCCACTACCAGGTATATACTCGAGAGAACTGAACCATAAGACCCCACAAAAACTTGTATGTGAATGTTCATTGCAGCATCATTCATAATAGCCAAAAGAGTGGAAACAACCCACATGTCCATCAACTGATAAATGGATAAACAAAATCTGGTATATCCACACAATGGAATATTATTCAACAATAAAAAGATATGAAGTATGATACACGCTACAACATGAATGAACACTGAAAACCCTGTGAGAACAGCCAGACCCAAAAGGTCACATACTGTATGATTCCATTTGTCTGAAATGTTCAAAACAGGCATATCCTCAGAGACATATAGTAGATTATTATTTGTCAGAGGCTGGGTGGTGGGGGTGATGGGGAGTAATTGTTAATGGTCAATGGGAATGCAGTTTCTTTTGGGGGTCAAAAAATATTCTAAAATTAGATAATGGCAGTGGTTACACAATTCTGTAAATATACTGAAAACCACTGAATGTACCCATTAAAGGGTTGATTTTTATGGTATATAAACTATACATCAATAAAACTGTTATAAAAATATGCTAAAAAATGGAATCATGAAATATATGAAAATTGTCCTGAGGAGAGGAAAGAAGTATATTAAAATGGAGCCAAAGGCACATACTCACCAGCAACCACCTTATAGGTCTCTATAGGCTCAGTATAAATATGAGATTGCTTTTGGTCTCAGATTAATTCCAGAGAATCTAAAGTTTAGTTCTAGCACTTAAAGGCTAAGCTTGGTACAGTTTATAAAACTTTGTTCACAAAGCAGGTGACTTGATGCTAGACGTTAGCAGCCTTTTAGAAAGTGCAATACATTAATCTGAGAAATAAGGCGGTGAGAGCAGTTTCTGCTTGGGTTCAGAAGATTCCTTAACACTTTGGAAATCATAAAGGTGAGGGGGAGAGGTTACTTGCCTCAACAGGCTTACAATATACACATGCCTACACGGTGTCTTAGAGAAAAGATGGCTGAAGAATTGGTATTTGTGCACATCCTACATTCAACTGAAGGGTGTTACTTCTTTCAAGAATTATTTGACAGATTCGGGTAAGCAGATGTCATGAACTCAAATGTCCAAACACCAGTCCTTCCAATAGGTCTATTCTCTTTTTCCCTTCCATCTTTCTATTTATACACACCCTCAGTACACAGTTTCTGAATCACTAAAGTATATACAAACAACACGGGGACAGGGGTGATGAATGTCAGTGGCACCACACATGGGAGACATTTTCCTGATTAGGATAAACTGAAGGTTGGAGGTTATAGAGAAAATCACTACCCTCATCTGAATGATGGGGACGAATAATGTGTACAAATTTTTTAGTGTAATTTTGCAATATCTATCAAAGGTCTTAAATGTATTGATTCATTTATATTGTCAAATAACTTCCATTCTGGAAATTTACTCAAAAGCAATAATATCAGATGTCCTCAAACATTTATGAAGGTATTTATTGCAATGTTTTTATAATATTGAAAAATTGTAATCAATCCAAAAGTATAACAGGGTTTCATTAAGTACAAAATGAATATATAATGAAAAACTGAGAAGCCTTTAGAGTGCTTTCAAAGACTATTTAATGAATTATTAACAAAAGTTATAATGAATAATGGAATGCAGGTTACATACACACAAACATACATGTATATTCACCTCAATTTTTAAAAAGTATATAAAGTAAGTCTGAAATTAATATACAATATGTTTAATGAAGGTTATCCTATCTGAGGGACTGTGGATTCTTTTTATTAATTTTTTATACTTTTCTTTATTTTTCTAATTTTTACAATGAACTGTCATGCTTTTTTTATTCAAAAAAAAGTACTTGAAAAGAAGCACTTAGATTTATTTGATCTGAATTTAATATAGTTCACAGTCAATATTTTTCATGTTTAATTTGTAATTTTGAAAATATATTTCCACTTATTAATAATATGATGGCATTTTCTTTGGAGATCACAATATTGCACACAAAGAAAATACTTTTGTGTTCTCCTGACTACTTTGCCCACCAAATTTCATATTAGAAGATACTTAGACAACTAGCATCTAATATTATAACTCTAAACTGCAGTTCCCAATTAATTTATTAATGGCAGAGAATTAACTCTATTGTGGTTCAGGTAGAATATGTGTGTATTATGTCTATATACTTTTGTAATATGAATCATGCTTTTGTGATAATTATCAGCATACTTTATCTTACATATGAAATCTGTACTTAAAAAATGGAGTTAGTCTCTTAAAAATATTTCCCATATAATTCTTTTATCAGAAAGTTTTCGTTTGACAACTTTCAACATTTCTTGTAGAAAGCAAGTAATATTTGAATTTCTTCTTTAATTGTGATTAAAGGGATTAAAATATAATATTTCATTATTTCAAGGAGCAGGAGAACAATTACATGTTTATAACTATAATAATCTGGCTCTGTTTTAT